TTTTCATTTTATTATTTCTTTAGTTTGTTGTAATAGTACATATAAGAGCTTTAGGATGCTTCAACATTTTGTAAAACTGGTTTTGAGATTATTGTGAATTTTTTTACTTATTAAGAATATTATAAAATAAATTTATAAAAAATAAATAACTATTTTCTCGAAAATGTTGTATATTAATAATTGCTAAACTTCCGTTGCCAATCAACTTTAATTTGTGCAAATTGTTATTAACCCTACTAAATATATGCATCAGTTTTTTATGAATTAATTAATTTTAAATACTTACTATGTTTACCTAAAATATTAGGTTCTTTAAAACAAGATAAATTAAAAATAATAATAATATATTATTTATAGATAATTTTATACTGAACTTACTTAATATTTATAAATCTAATTCAGAAATATATAATTTAGTAATTTTTTATTAAAATTTACTAAAAATGCACAAAAACTAATGTTACTCAAAATTATTTTTTGGACTAATTAACTATGTCAATATAGTACAAAATAAAAATATTATGAAAAAAATTTCAATCTAAATTATTTACTAAAAAATAAAAAAAAAAGTATTTACACTTAAAGAATTAACAAAAAAAAAAGAAAAAAAAAATAATATTTCTCTCCACTGGAGCACCAAAAAAGATAGTCCGCCAGGAGAAATTACCACGAGTCTGAATGTAGCTTGCGTCCGGACTCTGATCAAAATAGGTCATATTATACTATACACAACTTATGTACAATTTGAATTATTAAAAAAGATCATAAGAGAAAGTGGGTTTGGAAATAGAAAAATAAATTCTCTATAGTTCAAAATAACATGCTATTATGCAACTTCATTGGGTAAAACAATTTTTACTTCTTGTTGTTGCGATCCCTTCTACTGGAGAAATTATTAGGTGTGGTCATCAGATACAATTTAGAGGCGAATCAGGATGCACCATGTATCATTTTACTGTGTATCGGTGTTATGTACTGTTGTCCTGACTCGCCTCCGAACAATTTAATGACCACACGTAATAATTTATTGTCTAACCCTTAGCTTCAGTGCCTTGAAGTTCGTTACTACTCAGGCTTCGTTTGGGACCGCTTTTTTACTGCTTCTTAAAGCAGCTTTCTAGTACAAAAATTTAAATTTTTGTACTAGAAAGCTGCTTTAAAAATCATTAAAAAAACGGTCCCAAATGAAGCCTAATACTTCTACCAGCTGCTAAACTTGAGAAAGATTAACCATTTGACACTATACGGAAAGAAAATGTCATGATCGTCAATCGTTGCTACACCATCTGATAAGTATGTCTCAAACGAAATTATTAAAGACAATTCATGAACTACTCCTTTCAACAATGTGACAAAAATAAAAATAAAAAACTCACACACTAAGAGTGTAAAAATGATTATAAAGTGATTATGGAGAAAGCAACTTCTTAAAAATTATTATTGAAAGCAGATACTTACAAAAAAATTTTAAATGCAGAAAAAAAAAAAAGAATGACCCAATATAAATTGTGATTGTGATTTGGAAAACAAAGCAGTAAAAAACTAGCCCAAAGCCTTAGGCTTCGTTTGTGGAACGATTTTCTTATTGATTCCTAAAGCGGCTTTCTATTACCAAAAATTTAATTTTTGTACTAAAAAGTTATTTTAAGAAGCGATAAGAAAGTTGCCCCAATTAGTGAGAAGATTTTTTTATTGCTTTTTAAAGCAGATTTTTAATATAAAAATTAAAACTTTTGTACTAGAAAGCTACTTTAAGAAACGGTAATAAAGCCGTCCCAAACAAATCCAAGAAATTCTAGTACAAAAATTTCAAATGCAAGAAATTTTAAAAAAACAGTACGAAAAATGTACGAAAACTGTCCCAAAAGTAGTTTTAAGAAGCTTCATTTGAGACAGTTTTTGTACTGCTTTTTAAAATAAATTTTTAGTATAAAAATTTCAAATGCAAAAAATTTTTGTACTAAAAAATAGTTTTAGAAAACAAAAAGAAAGAGTCCCAAACAAACTCCTTAATTTTTCTACGGTGATCATGAGATAATGGAATAAATAACCAATACTCACTTCAAAATTTTCTTTGAGAAATATGTCTGAAAATATTCTAAAGTTTGCTTAAAAGCCCCACACATGAAGGAAAATACCCTAAACACACAAAAAAAAACATTCCAATTTTGTTGATCAGATTATCGGCCACAATAATATTATGTTTGCAATTAGCAAATAAACATATACGATTAAGGCTTCATTTGGGACGGTTTTTTTATTGCTTTCTAAAATGGAATTTTAGTATAAAAATAAAAAATTTTGTGCTAAAACTCCTTTTTAGAAAGCAGTAAAAAAATCGTCCCAAACAAAGCCTAAATCACATTGCCTAAATTTTTTACCCTATTAAATAACAAAATTTTGGTTTGAAAAAAATCACAAAGATAGCCTATGATGTCATCAATATATTAAAAAGTTTAGAGTGTTTCGAATGCTATTTTCAACATAAAATGAATCAGATTTAAAAATATCATAATTTTATCATTAGGACATTTGGAAGTTAAAATTCTTTTAAAATTCAAAATGACATAACTGCCAAAACAATTTTTGGAGAAGAAAACATATGAATAGTCATATAGGAAAAAATATAGCCAACGCGGTCAAAATAAAGAAGGAAAATTTATTAAAGATTATCCAAAATTGCTCAAATGCTCTTAAAAAGAAAAAAAAAATCAAGGTTTTAGATAAAATTTTTGGCAATTTTTAGAGGTACCATCATCTCTACCTATCTCGTCAAGGATAATCTCTATTCCTCTCAAGTTAACGTAAACCCTCTATTCAATGAGAAATTATTCTGTGGAGTACAGACGGGAAGAACTATTCGGACATATGAGTGTACATACTCTTTGTATACGATGCATACACTCATAGTCCAGACGACTTCCTGTCCGGACTCCACACGGAATAATTTCTCCTACTCAACTCAAGAAGAAAATTAGAGCTTCAAAATAGAGATCAAGCCTCACTTAGGTTTTGTTTGGAATTTTTTTATTTCTGTTTTTTAAAATAGTTTGTTAGTACGAAAATATTTTTAACTTAAATTTTTTATACTATAAAGCTGCTTTAAAAAATAGTAAGCAAGTTTTCTCAAATGAAGTCTTAGGCTTAAGCTTCGTTTGGGACGGCTATTTTATTGTATCTTAAAGTAACTTTTTAGTACATAAATTAAAATTTTTGTATTAAAAAAATACTTTTAAGAAGTAGTAAAAAAATATGCCCAAACCAAACCTTAATTTCAGACAAAAAAACAGGCTAAAACCTCTTTGTAGATGAAGACCAGAGCCTCAAAGCAGAAACTGCTAACATTGGTTATCACCATAGTTACGATTAAAGTAGGACAATATCTAACAACTATATAAAGGAGAACTTATGCCTAGGAAGGAAATTTGAGAATTTCCCTTCAGCCTTAAAGGGAATATTCATGGAGGAGAAAAGACAATATTTTAGATTTTTTTCCTATAAATCTTAGTATTTACTAAAAAAAATAAAAACACCTTCAACGAAAAACATAAGAAGAAAAAAAGAGAAAACTAAAAATACATAATGCACATCCAATATATACAGTGCGGCGAATAAAGTCAATCGTTATAGCCTCCTCATCCATATCCGTGCATGATTTGCACCTACATTGGCCTTTTTTGGGAAAGATTATTAGGTGCGGACGGTGCACACTCTGCACCTAATAATTTTTTCTTTTTTGAACATTTGTGGACTCTTTAGATCCGTACACAATTTTGATTCCCATTGAGGGATTAATGAGTAGTTTCAAACAATTTTATAGAGATTAGGATCAAATTTCTTGATTGTTGTTGTCTCAAATGATACATCAATCTTGAGGAAGGGCAAACTAATAATAACGAAGAAGTTATGTACTTCATAGCCCTCATAAAAAGCTCAATTATGATTTTGCTTCACAAAATTTTTAAGGTTATATATATATATGGAAATTATTAATGTTAATCTATAAATTAGAATTAGTTTATTAACTTATTTGATTAATTTTTAATGAATATTTGTTTAATGATCAAATTTAAGAATGTGAAATGAGTAAAGTTGGAGTAGCTTCAATGACAGATAAAATTACAAAGAGTAGTCTTAGATGGTTTGGTCATATAAAGGGGTTGTTTTGGTAGCAGGATTTAGGCTAGATTTGAGGCGGATTTGAGGAAAATCTAGCCAAACAGCCTAAAATGCAAAACGGTAAATGAAATCCCTCGTAGACGAAAAATTCTGCCGATTCGCACTAAATCCCGAATTTTTTATATCCTCTATTTTGCTAGATTTATGAAATCCATGGCACATGGGGAAGAATCCGCTCGGTAAATCCTGCTCTATCTGACTTCACATAGTGTGATAAAAACTTGATGTTGTTGTAATTAAATTGATGAGAAATAAATGAGTTGAATGCCCCTCACCAAAAGTATTTCTCTATATTTTAAAAATTAAATTAAGTAAAATTAATAAAGGTGTAAAAAAAATCACTTGATTTTAATAATTTTTATATCTCAAATTTAATAAATTGTTATATAGATAATTAAATTTTTGGAAATTTCAAGAAATTTAATATCCTTCTTTTATGTGGATTAAGATAAATAATATTGTTTTTAAATTAAATCTCAACTAATTAAAAATATAAATAAATTAAATATTTAAATTACATTAAAATATGTAGTATATAAAAAAGTACTTTGTATTTTAAATATACTTAATATTGATAATATTTTAATATAATTTCAATTTTTAATTTCTATCGCCCAATCAAGTCGCTGGAGAAACTTCTAATATCGGAGGTGACGGACCATGTAACAATCGGGTTCTTGTGGCCGCTGGATTGCCGCATGGCCTTTCCATCAATAACAAATAATATATTTTTAATGGGTTATCCTATTCCGCAATACAAGTTACCGGTGCTCGTTCAGGCTCTATAAATAGCACCAGACCCCTCTTACGAGCCTGCGAATGCTTTCTTATTTCTGTCTCTTCTTTTGAAAACCCTAGCCCTAGGTTTCTCCGTTGCCTCTCGAAGTCTTCTTGTCTCGTTTCTCTCTCTTTTCTTTTGTTCCTGTCTGATCGGCCTTTTTCTTGCTGATTACTTAAATACGTAGCGAGCCTTGTGCGTCTTTCATGCTGTTTGGGGCTTATCAGCATCGGAGAAGAATTCCGAGAGCCATGGCTCGGTGCATTCCGTATACGCGTCCGAACTATTGGAGGGAAGATGTCTTCCTGATCGGATCAATCAAGGTTTGTTGAGCATTAATGAGGCTGCTATTGATTAATTTCATTTGTGCTCGACTGCCTGCAGTTGATCCGATTATTAATTGTCCTGTTATTGTTAAAATGGCCCTTGAATGTAATAAATTCCAGTTTGTAAAATATCCAAAAGATTGAAAGGAAATTTTATGTTGATGTATTTTGACAGTCACAGACTGAATATTTTTCTTTATTATTTGGTCATCCGTATGATTTTTTGCCTGCAAAGAAATCGAATTCAAATGAGATCTAATGACGACACTCTGTTTTAAGGGTTTCATTTCGTTTGTCTCTGTCGTTCATATCTTGTGGAAAATTTTGATTAGTACTCCGGAATTAAGGTCTCTAATACCATGTTGTGAAGGTCTGTGATGGGGTTACCTTGACGCTTTTGTTTTTGGTTTACTTATTTTCACTCGAGGAACATACTCTGCAGCAAATAATCAGGATAAAATCACTGAAGTTATGTTGTCAGTTGAAAAAATGCTTTAAGAACTATGTTGTGTTAGTAAACGAAAGTTAACTGAGGGAGTTCCTTAATAAATCCGAATTTGTACAGATGATTATCACCTGGGGGGTCTGTTCATGATTGCTTTCAAACTAGGAATTGTTGATTGGTCAACATTCATCATTCCTTAAAAATCGTAAGCATTAATTATCAAATGAAATCATGTTTATAATTATAACTGATTTTAATAAGCAAATTATGATGCCTGAACAATAATCATCCGTACATTCTTAACTGTTATATAATGCACTGATATTTTAAGACTTCGGTGTTTTGGTATCTTCAATATATCGTAGATGCCCCAGCTATATGAATTAATGCAACTGTCATTTTACGAGTAGGTAATGGATCAGTTCATATCTAGTATTGATTGATGTGTAGAAATATCTGTGCATGGTACAGTTTATGTTTCATGCACCACCGCCACTAAAGAATGAATGAAAATAATGATATATACTAAAGTTTTTACTATATTTCTGTTCAGCATGATTATAACTAAATTACGTCAATCTTGGTTTAAAATGCTGTTTTACCTGGACTTGAGAGGTACTATCAAACTAAACACATTCTTATGTTCTCTAGATAGTATTGATATCTATATACCTTTGAACAAAAGGCAAAAGGCCCCTGATTGTTGAATGAAAGCGAAACAACCCTAAATTGCTGATTGTTGAATGATAGCATTTGGAGCATTTTATCTCATCTTTGGAGGCAGGTGATGTTTAAATAAAACTCTTCAGTGTGCTAGATCAATGTGACTTAAGGAGCCAAAATTTGTTATAAAACACATTATTTGCTTTCCTTAATTACATTGAAATTATTGCTCATTTTTTGGGCTAGAAATGTTGATTTTTTACTCCTTAAGAGTGTTATTATGAATTGGAGACCTTAGAGTTTCTAGGCCCTTCATGCAGTTTATCATATCATTTTTTTTTTCCTTTCGGATGGTGTATGTGTTTTGTTCCAAAACATATTTCCCTTATAATATTCTACTTATATATTACACAACATGAACTGTTCATATAAAAACATCATATATTGAAATGGGTTCACTGGTAAAGCCTCTCGCACTTACTTTACGCTGATGATTTTTTTATTTTTGGTAAAGCCTCTCCCCTTAATTGTTCAGCCTTCAAGGAGATTCTTGGCACTTTTGCTAGCTCCACTGGTTTGGTCTTTAATCTGGACAAAAGCTCTATCATTCTTACAAATGCTAATGACATTTGTGCTATCCTCAACGTCCCTTCCCTCTGTTCCAAAATTACCTACTTGGGATTGCCAGTCTCCATTAAGAGAGCCCGCCTCTCTAATTTTTCCCCTCGATGTTATCACTAACAAGCTTTCAGGTTGGAAACTCAAGTCTCTTTTTTTTGCAGGTCGGCTTCAATTTCTTAGATTCACTATTTGGAATACCATTGTTTATTGGATTCGTGGTGCTATCATACCAAAGTCCTGCACCAAGCAAATTGTCAAAATTTTAGCAAAATTCCTATACTTTGGTGATTCTAATGCAAAGAAAATGCATATGGTTTCTTGGTTCAACACATGCAAACCTAAAACAAAGGGGGATTGGGCATTCATGATTTTAATGCTCTTAGATATGCTTGTAATTGCTCTTTAATTTACACTTAGTTATTCAACAAGTACGGTTCACCATGGAAAAATCCCTCACCTAATTCCTCTTGTATGTGGAAAAGTGTATGTGATTCATCCCTTAAAGCTAAAAACAGTTTCCACTTTAAAGTAACTGTTAATAGCCCTCTCTCCCTTAAGTGGGACCATTGGTGTAATGGTATTGCTTTCGCTGAGCTACCTCACCATGAATCCTTACTTGATCATTTTTATGCTGAAGCTCATATTGCTAACCTCATTGACACTAATGGTTGGAAGCTGCCTGCTTCTTGTCATGTGATTATACAAAATAGAATCCTTCCAATCCCTATATATTCTGAAAGAAACATGAGATGTCTTGGGGGTAGTTTTAACTCTTTCGTGCAAGACTTTTATAAAGAGAATAATTTGGTCTCTTGGCATAGTGTTGTGTGGCATAAGCATTATGCTCTTCCGTCGTCTATTTTCGGTTGGCTCCGTGTGATTGGGGGTCTCAAAGCTGTTGATGTTCTTATAAAGAGAAATATTGGGGCTGATCCTTCTTATTGTCTGTGCAAATCGAATCATCAGAGTGCTTCACACTTGTTTTTTGAGTGTGATTTTACCTTCTCCATCGTCTCCTATTTTCTGCCAACCTAAAAAGATTTTCCTATGCGGCCCAATATAACTCAAACTTTGGATTTTACTGCTTGAAGGGCTGATCAAATACCGTATAAACTGAATTTCTTGCTGTTATGATGCTCTATTTACTATATTTGGCGGGAGAGAAATGCTAGAAAATTTGCTAACTCTTCCAATAGCTATATTACCATACAGGAGAGCATAAGAAAAGCAGTATGTCTTAAACTGATGAGATGGAAAAATGGAGAGGAGTTTACTAGTGTGCTATATGGCCTGGGTTTTTCTTACTGTCTGTTCCTAGAGCTCTGAGCGGGTTTTGTTGTTTTGCCGGTTCATGCTCTCTTGTCATTTGCGAACTTAATTATGTGTTTCTATGCTGGAGTTGCGTTCATCCGGTTGCGCAATTATTTCATCTTCTTTTGCTATATGCAATTCTTGTCAAATGGGTTTGAGATTGGTATGGGGCGAGGATGAATGCATTGCATCCCTCATTCAAATGCACGGCGATTCTTAGCAAACATTATCTATTAATGAAGGCAATCCCCGCAACGTTGGTGTTTGATGGTTGCAATGACACTGTTCTGAGCCTTTTGGAATTTGAAAATTTTCTTTTCATGGTTTTATGGGTTCCAGTTTTTGTCTATGGCCCCTTTTTCTCTTAGTCTCTTTCAGCTCTTTTTGTTTGGTGTTTTTTCTTACACCTTTTTGTTGAGCTGGAGCTTTTGCTCTTAGTTTTTCCTTACAGTTTCCTATTTTCATAGTTTTCTGCTTTTGATTGTTTCTTACAATCTCTTCTCTTGCAACTACTTTTCATATAATGGAATTTGGGCTTTGCCCTTAGCTTCCCCCCCCAAAAAAAAAAGGTTCCATGTATTTGCTTTGTTTTCCGTCATCTTTCCTTTTTTGGAACTGATGGTTCAGTCTGGTGCCCAGAAACTCCAGATTCAATGGGGAAACACAAAGCAGAGGAAACAATTGACCAGGAAGGTGAATGAAAAGCAGAACAAAAAGAGATCCAGAGAAGAGCATGATAATCTGGATTCCTTGCAGCGCAAAAACAAGAAAAGAAAGGCGGACAAGTCTATAAAATTCAATAAAAGCCTCCATTTTGCAAAAAAAGAATTTTCTGACCATTTGGAAAGGAGTGACCTTTCTGAAGAATATGATCCCCCAGCTTTAGTTCTGAACAAATGCAACTCCTCGAAGGGCACTCAAAACAGTAAAAATGGCAATGCTGTTATGGACTCCGATCCCAAGAAGCAAAAACCAGGTACCTATTTTTGGTGGTTCACATGATTGGTGGTTTCTCTTAATTGATGTGCTTTAAACCTATTGTGAAAAGGTATGGTCATACGAATTAAGTTGCCTTTGAAGAAGCAAAAGGATGCCGAGCCAGAATCTGCAAGCACAAATCCCAGCTGCTCTTCAATATTCACCAAATCATCCGCTGCGCAAGCTTTCTTGACTGATTCTGCTCCTTGCTCTTCTTCTCAAGCTACCGAACCATCCGATGTTCAAGCTATTTTAACTGGATCTGCTCCCCTCGGTTCTTCTGAAGTTCAAGCTATTTTAACTGAATCTGCTCTGAGAACAAAGGAGCTGCAACCAGAGACAGTTTCCCAGCCTTCCATCTCTGCTCCTTTCTCCACACCACCCATCCTTCAAGAAAGATGGAGCAGTGGTAGGAACTGCACACAGGGATCAGAGTGGGAGTTGTTCAGAGATTTGATAATAAACTGGAAGCCTCCGTCGATTCGGCGGCTCGAGGCAGATGAAGCCGAGCTGGATTGTCTCTTCGCCACACATAAGCCACAGGATGCAAAACCCAGTGCACCGATTTGCAAAGCTGGCGTCTCTAATCCTAGCACTGCAAGTTCTTTGCAACCTAGAGCTACCTATCTACCTGAGTTCAACACGTACCAGATGCCCTATGTGATCCCATTTTGAAATTTGGAGGTGGATGGATTGATGGAAATGTGGAGCTGAGTTGTACAGAACGGATTATTTTTCTATACCAATGAGGATTAGCTCATGTTGTATTGTTCTTCCTCTCTCAAATGTGAGATGATGGGTTTAGCTTCCACTTGATTGATTGGTTTAAAAGAAAATCCCTTGAAAGGGTAATTGAATGCGGTTGTATTGTAAGTAGAGGAAATTGAAATGAAGTTTAGAAAGCATTTTTTCTAGCCAGTTTGTTTCATTTATTTTGACTCTGATCAATCTTTTTTTGCCTTCCTATATATACATGGCTTTAATCTCTTGTAACATTCGTGTTGAGATCATGTCCTTCTTCTGAGATCTCATGCAGCATGCTTCTTATTGCCACGTCTTTTCTGCTTAGACCGACCTGTTACAACTTTTTGAGTTTGTTTCTGAGGTGCAGGGCTCCTACTAAGCCAGAGAAAATGCTACCTTCTAACCTGAACTTTGGCTTTCATCTCATGGACGGTCTATACGGGTAACCGGTGACGATTCTAACGTATTCGATTTTTGTTTATTTTCATGAGAATTTGGATAATTTTGGTCATTTTGAGTCTCCTTTCAAATTTGTCAATATTTTCATTTGGATCCTCACTTGCTATGTTATTTTTTAAAGATTTCATTTAAGATTTTTTTTAATAGCTTTAAAATAATTTTATAGTAAAAAAATTATTATATAAAACAACAAAAAAATTATCTCAAATAAAAATTTAATAAGCTTTATTTGAGATGACATTCTTACTTTCAAAAGAAAGCCGTCTCAAACAAAATTTTAGTTTTCAATTAAGATTCCATTTAGAATGACTTTCTTTGTGCTTCTTAAAATAAATTTTTATTATAAAAATTTTAAGACAGCTTTTGATCAAATTTTTTAGTTGCTTAAAATAAATTATACTAAAAAAAAATACTGAAAAAATAATAAAAAAAAAAATGTTCCAAACAAAATTTTATATGTTAACCTGAGAGAAATGCCTAAGACGTATAGTATCACGCTGGGTTTAGCTTTAGAATTCAGTTCTATTTAATACAAAATCATAATAATTATTCTATTTGTAACTAAATTTTCCAATTTATTAAAAAATGATGCAATTGGTATTAAGCCCAGCTTCAAACCAAGGCTTTAATTTTTATTACAATTTTGTATTCGATGACAAAAAAATGTTTAGGTGATAGCATCGAACAAAAAAGGTACATCCCCATATATTTAAAACATTATAGACGAAAAAAAAAAAATACAACCGACAAAGATTTGCATTGAATAAACAAACTGTCCTTGAAAACCTTAAATAGATATACAATACAATAATATAGCATGTCTTGTAAGGAGACAGTTCAAGATGACCGCACACATCAAATGCTTATGAATGGGAGCGAAGTCATCTGAAGTCTTGGCCATGAAAAAAGAGTTTATTACAAACATAAATACAACATATGGTTTTGTTTTGTTTTTTTTTTTTTTTTTTCTTCAACCTGCTGTTGTTGATGTCAGTTAAATATAGAGGAAGAGCTTTAATTCAGATAGAAACTTAGGCTTCGTTTGGGACGGCTTTTTCTATGCTTCTTGACGCAATTTTTTAGTTAAAAAATTAAAAATTTTATACTAGAAAGCTACTTTAAGAAGCAGTAAGAAAGTCGTCTCAAACAAAGCCTTAGACTGTGCAAGAAATATGCATGACCGTTCTTCAATGCACTTTCCTCACAAAATGAAGCAAGATTTTTGTGCCCTTCTCTTCTTCTTCTTCTTTTGCTTGGGTGGCTGGAGAACAACTTTGATGGCCGCATCAAAAACAGCTTTGATATTCTGTGCCGCAAATATTATCAGATAAAACAGACTTTTAGCCACCTGCGAACATGTAGGATTGATGATTAAAAACATACCTGTTGTGTTTTTGAGCTGCACTCAACGTAAGAAGCAGCACCTATTTGCTTTCTAAGCTCCTCTCCCTTTAAGAATATATTAAAATACATTAGAAGTTAAGAAATTTAAGCAGAGCATAGAAAGAACTCATGAAATTGAATTCATATGCCATTTTTGTTGCATCTTAATTCATCTTTACCTGCGCAGTAGTAATAGGCACAGCTCCTGGGTGGTCGATAAAGAACTGTTGGTCATCTCGAAGATCTGAAAGGATATCACACTTGAGTTATAGGTGATAGTTTGTTCAATACTAAAGAAATCAAGAGGATATTATTTTCTGAAAAAAAAAGAATGTCGAGTAAAAAGCATACAGCTTAAAAAAATGAATGTTTGCCTGAAGAGATGATATGGATTAGGGGTGTAAACGAGTCAATTCGAACTAGAGTAAAAACAAACTCGAGCTCGGCTTGTTTCTCTGAAAACCGGCTCAATTCGTGCCCAAAAAATGAACTCGAACTTGGCTCGTCCTTTAACTCCCCGGCTCGAGAGCTTGACTCGAGCTCGGTGGGAGTTCACTAAAGAAGCACCATGGACGAACTAGCAAAATTACTCTAGAACTGGCGAAATCTACCATCAAAATTATCAAATATATGGAAATGTGCTACTAAATTTCTTACTAGTGATTATGAATTATAGATATGATCTCAGGAAGGATACTTGCTAATGCTAAAGAAAATGCTAACCTCTACCTCTTGAATATTGAAGAAAATACTAAAAAACAAGTGAAATATGCTCAATATGTATATTTCATTCTTCCTTTAATGAAAGTGTAATAATAATATGGTACTTTCATCTTGGTCATTTCAACTTCATATTTCTTAAAAAGTTATTGCTCTCTCTATTTATCATACAATCCTAAAACATTCCAGAGTATAAAACTTTCCGATGATCCATACACAGTTGGAGCATTTAACCTATTCAACTTTATAAAGCCTCGTAACTTTTAATTGTCATCCATTGTGACATTTAAAAACAATATCAGGTAAACAATATATTGGGGGCTTGACTGATTTATATTATTTGTTTAGACCGTACTAGAGCTACTTGGTTCTTTCTAATGAAAATAAATTTGAAACCAATTCAATTTTTTAAATATTCCAATTTTTATACAAACCCAATTTAAAATTCAAATTCAAATCATTGGGATCAATATTAAGAAAAGATATTGTTATTGCATTCTTGGAAACTATCCCCTTCAACTAGAAATTATCCACCAAAATTCTTGTATTCATGCTCAATAAAATAGGATAGCAAAAAGAAAAAATAGACATATTTTAGAGGTTGCTCGATCAATTTTGATAACTAATAATGTCCTAAATATTATCGAGGAAAGCTATCCTTATAATTTTATATCTCATCAATTGTGTGCAATCAAGAATTCTTAACTTCAAAACTCCTTATCAAACTCTCATCATGGCCTATCCCAAAAAATGAACTCACCTCCATCATTCCTCCAAAAGTTCTTTACAGCTCTATTTTTGTGCATACACCTCATCATCAAAGAAAAAAGTTTGACCCAAAAATCATAAATGTATTTTTATTACCTACTCTCCTCACCAGTAAGGTATAAGTGTTATTCTCTCAATACTAAAAAAATTATTACATCACCATAAATGTAACATTTTCAAAAATCAATCCTTTCTCAAATCTAGCATTTCGCGGGAAAACACCAATTCAATCTATAAATATGACTGTTGTCTTATTCTACCTCTACCTACACCCTTTCCAGACATATTGTATCTCATTCTGTAGCATACCCTGAAAGCTTCAAAAATCACATACAACAAGTACGGTACAAAGAGATTGTATATTCCAAATGACAAGAAAATTCAATTACCAAGTGCAGCAAAGCATTTATCCTGAACTAAACCTAATGTCTGACTCAAATCTTGAAACTACTTCACAAGGGTAACATTAACTGTGAGGATGATCTAAATTTCCTGTTGCTTTCTAGAAAGGTATAAGGAAATTACACTAAACACCCAATCAGCCATCATATTTACTATGAAAAATTATCTCGTACGTTTCATGTCTTTATTATGAAATGGTGTAGCATGAAAACATCAAACAATATTCAAGAAGCCTTAAAGGTAGCTGAATAAAAAAAATAAAATTCACAAAGAAATTTAAGCTATAGAAAGAAATGATGCATGGAAACTTTCAAACTTTCTCAGAGGGAAGAAACTTCTTGGATTCAAATGAGTCTTCAATGTAAAATAGAGAGATAATGGGAGCATCGAAAATTACAAAGCAAGATTAGTTACACAAATGTTCTCTCAAATCTATGGAATTAACTATTAACAAACTTTTACCCCAATAATTAAGATGAACACCACTCAAGTTTTTTTTCTCTTGTTGCTAATTTAGATTAGTCAATTCATCAATAGTATGTAAAAAATATCTTTCTAAATAAGGAATTAGAGGACAAATTTATATAATAATTTCTCCTGGATTGGAGAGTGCAAGCAATATAAGCCAAGTTCGCATACCCAAGAAACCTTTTCATGGCTTAAAACAATTCCCTAGTGTATGATTCAACAAATTCAGCATGATGATAGAAAGGCGTGGGTACTCCCAAGAACATATATGATATAACTACACCTATTTATCAAAAAAATCATCTGAAGCTAAAACTTTTATATTGATTGTTTATGTTGATGATATTATCTTTATATGGAATCATGACAAAGTGATAAAAAAAAAGTAGAAAGTTATCCTGGCCAAAGAATTTGAAATCAAGAACTGGTGTATTAAAATTTTTCTTAGCCATGAAAAAAAGTAAGATCATGCAAAGGGAATATTTGCCTCTCAACAGAAACACACCTTGGACCTATTAAAGAAACTAGAAAGCTAGGAAGTAAGCCCGTTAATAAGCCAATCGATCCTTAAAACAAAACAAAATTGGAAATATATTAACCTAATGCTGACAAAAGAAGATACCAACAGTTAGTAAGAAAGCTTATCTATTTGTTCTCCTATTAGTGTTCATAAAAAACACTACAAAAGAACACCTTAATGTTGTATATAGGATAAAGAGGTATCTTAAGAAGATACATAGAAAAGGATTATCCTTCAAGAAAGGAACTAATACAAGTATAGAAATTTTCACTGATACTAACTAGGCAAGATCTATAACTGAATGTAAATCCACCTCTACTTATTGCTTATTTATATGGGAAAAATGAAACCCTTGAATTATGAATCATAGGGTATATTTGATGGGCATAAAACCCTCTGTCAGCTAAGGTGGGTTCAGATTTATCCCCTTAGATAAACATCAACCCAGGTCTACAAGGTATTATTGGACGAAGCAACCCATGGCTGCCGATAAGGTACCTTCTATCAGGTTAGGTTGACTACCTGCTCTACCAGGGATCATGATAGCCCGGGACAACAGAATCATGGGATCTTGATCGGGCTCATCTTCATTCACTCCACCACCAGTTTTAAGTTTATGGTGATAAACTCTAAATTCCAAACTTCAAAATCCAAATCATAAGATCAAATTTAAACACTAAAATTGTTGCTATTATATATTGGATTTATGATCCATACGAACTCGTTAACCACTAGCCTTAATCGAAAGTTTTCTCTATCGGGAGGGGTAATTAACTATAGGGGCTTGCGCTTATAGGAAAACAGAACTCAGATCAAAAAGTCCTCACAAAATGAGGGCGAAATCTCTGGGTAGTGTCTTATCTAAAACCCAATCTGCCTTCTAAAAATTCCCCCAGAACCTAATCTCATTAAAACTCTCTGTTGTCATCGTCACACAAACACTTAAAAGAAAAATAGATCGATGGTGCAGAAAGACCGGGACACCTACAATAAAATGGAATTTTCGGAGCCCACACTACACTATCCTTGGTAATTTAAAGTTATTACAAGAAACACGTAACAGAAGCATTACCAACTATAAATGAACTTGCACTTGGCACCAATAGAATACAAATGAACCCCCAAATCAAAAGCAAGTTCAGGATGATCTTCCTTGATGAGTTTAAAGCATAAGAGATTAAGAAAACAACTACTTCCCTTCTGGGATAGTACAACATTAAATCATTCTTATAGCCCAGCACCACATTTTAGTGTATATTTAAACATCTAGAAATCAGAACCAATAAGCCCCCTTGCAATATACTCCTAAAAAAATCCAGATCAAACTGTAATCGGAAAATAACTAGAACATCAGATTAACACATATCCTCATACATATTTCATAATTCTTAATACACATAGTGAAACTTCAGAAAAAGAAAACAAAAAATTTACAACGCCACCAAACCACGACATAGAGCGAAAAAGGAAATGCTAAAGTATGAGAGGAATGGAGATTAACATACAGGGAAAGCAAACAAGTTACCTAGAACTAAAATAAAATCTAAAATTACATACTGCTCATTCTACTGGATGCAACAAGCATTCAAGTGTCATGGATAAAGTGAAACTAAAGGGGAAAACCATGAAACCTTTTCATTGAAATAGCCATATTGATTTGAGTAGAGTGAAGAGATACAATTAAGCTACTTATATAAGATAATCTAATTGAAATAATATATATTTCCCAAACAAATAAGCCATATGGTGTTGAGATTTAGGCCTATCTTAAATCGCCAAAAACAAATAATATAAAAATAAGATAAACATGCAAAACACACCAAAAATTTTACAAAAGTTTATCAAATTAATGGCTACATATTACTACCGTCATTGTAAATATCACTATAATTAGATGGTGCGGTTTTATAGAGAAATTCACAAATACCATAATATCTCATGTATGAAATTGAAACATAATAACAGCGCTCTCTTTATAACAAAAATATAAGGCAGTAGAAAATTATAAAATAACTGTAAATAAACAATTGCAAATATTAGATATCTCAGCATAAAGCATTTCTTCATAAGGCATTAATTAAGCACCACAACTTAACAATCTCCCGCGTTCAGATTAATCAATCATTATCAATTGAATTCAAGTAACCCCCATGCGCTAAAATACCATCCTCCAAAGTTAACCTAATGTAGTGATAACTTAATTGAATATGCTTTGTCCTCGCATGATAAATTTGATTACTTTCTAAATGAATAACACTCTAATTGTCATAATAATGCAACACATTTTTCTCATACTTCTAAAATAGTTCTTCCAAATAATAATTGCAAGCAATCCATATTCTTGCTTGCTTTCGTCACGGAAACAT